TGCTAAGCACACACTCTACCGTGGGTGCCCTTTCCATAGACCTGAATGTCTCCTGATCACCTCAGGCCAGATAGGACTTTTTCTTTCTGTGATTTCCTAAGACTGTGTCCCATGTAGTCTTATCTCATCTTATATTGCATTGATTTGTTTACCCTGTCCATTTATGTGTTTCTCCTTGATGGACTGGACATTCCTGAATACAATGACTGTTTTTCATTTATATGAGTGTCTTTACCAGAATCCAGCGTCAAGACAAAACATTAAAAAAAAAAAATTCAAACCAGTAACGTCTAATTTTGAATTCTGAAGATATGGAAGGGATATGAGCAAGGATGGGATCATTATCAGTGTAAACTTCTCAACCATCCTCCAATTAGGCCACGTATCTAAACTTGAAAAGCAGTGCAGTGATGCCTGCTTCTAGCCCCATGACTGATGAAATACTCTGGATGTAAAAATCTTTATATTGTGATTTTTTTTTTAAATGAGAGGATATTTGCATGAGTCTAACAAAACATCTTATAATTGAAAGTTTATTGGGGAGAAAAACTTCCTAAAAGCCAATCTCAAGAAAAATTAGTATCAATTCAGGATTCTTACCTATAAAATCATGAAGTTTCCTAAAACAAAGAAAAAAAAGGTTCTGAATATACTTACCAAGAGTGGTATTATTTGTAAAGTACTTTTGATGGATGGATTTTTGCAAATGGTTTCTTGTACATCTGAAATAATTATACCATGATACAAAAATAACTTAGTCATGTATACTGAAGGAGAAGAGTGACTGAAGAATCAAGTATTAAATTCTGCTGTGTCAAAATGTTCAAAATTGAGTAAGGGACTTTTTTCTTATCATCCCCAGAAACAGTCTTTATACTTACATTAGGTGAGGAAACAGAGTTAATTTGGTTAAAAAATTACATAAAACTTATACTGCTAAAAGGCATTCCTGGTACTTTGACTATTCTGTAACAATCTCTTTATTTAAATGCTGGGTTATCTTTTCTTTTGAATTTTTCTTTCTTTTTTTTTAAACCAAAAAATGAATTTCATTCTCAAGCATCTCAGGGAAGAGGAGGAAATTTTATGTAACCAGTGAGACACAAAAAAATTTAGTGATCTGGTCAACTCCTGTCTTTTCAATATTTTGGCTTCTGTTCATATCCTAGCAAGGATCTGGGCAAAAGAAAAAAATTTACACATAATTTTTACATGAAGGAATTATCAAATGGAAAAGGAGAACCCTCCAAAAAACTGATGAAAAATAACTTTCTTTTTTTACATGAAGCATTTAGGATATGTGGTAGCATCTAATGGAAAAACGAACCCTTCAAAAAAACTGACTTGAAGTTTTTACTCTTTATCTGCATGATTTTACATCTTAAGACTTATAACTTTGGTTCTGTATTGCTTTTGTGGTTATAGCACCCTGCCTTTTATTAATATATTATTTTAAAATCTTAATTTTTGAATTAACCCAGAGTATACAAAACATTTATGCACATTTTAATTAGTAAAAATGAAGCTAATGTCTGTGTAACCACACAGCTACACAGCTAATGCCATGTAACCACCGAGATTAAGAAATGTGAACATTACCACCACTTTCGAGGTACCCTGGAGCTCCCTACCTCGACGCTGCCCTGTGCATTCTAAGTGGTTACACACACATTAGCTATGTAGTTTACATAAATGGCACTGTACTGTTTTTATTCTCTGGTGATTTGCCTTACTTTGCTCAAGATTATATACTATTTGGATTCACCCGTGATGATGTGTGTAGCTGTAGTTTGCTCATTTTCCTTGCTGAATTGTATTCCAGCACATGGATATACCACATTTAGATGTTTTCAAGTTTTGGCTTTTATAACAAAGATGGTCTCTATAGATTTATATGTGTTCCCTGATACACATGTGCAGGGTTTTCTCCAGGGTATGCAGCTAGAGGAAAAACTGCTGGGTTATCATGTATGTCCATGTTCACTTTATTTATTAGGTGGTGGCAAAACATTTCCTACAAGGTTGCCACAGTTTACACTCCCACTCGCATTACTTGGCAGCTTTAATTGCTGCGCGTCTTTGCCAACACTTAGCATTGCCAGGATCTTAAACTTACGTGTTTGTGATGAGTGTGTGACTGTATTTCATTGTTTCATTTCGTGTTACTAATCATGCTGAGTATCTATCGGTTTATTGTTATTTGCATTTCCTTTGTTGTGAAGTTCCTGTACACGTCTCCCCTGCCCTGTTTTTCTACTAAGTTGCCTTTTTTCTTATTGATTTATAGGAGTTCTTTATATATTTTGAACAAGAATCATCTATTCTATGTATTAGAAATACTTTCTCTCATTTTGTGGTCTTTTCATCCTCAGTGATGTTTTTATGTGAAGAGGAGTTTGTAATTTTAATGTCGTCAAATTTATTAATTTTCTCTTCCATGGATTATGTTCCTTGTGCTCTGCTTATTAAGAAATCCTTCTTTACCCTGAGGTTAGAAAATATTTTCTTATATTATCTCCTAAAATCTTCACAGCTTCACATTTTTTTCACATTTACTTTTTAATCACCTTGGAAGTGATTTTTTTATGTATGTGTTTGGTAGGAGTTCAGTTTAATTTCTTTCTATTTGGTATCCAATTATTCCACGATGAAGTGAGAAGCAGCCATCTCAAATTGACCCCAGAAGTTCGTCAGTGCCAGCTGGGGCCCAAGAACAGGTTCTCCCTGATGTGAGAGGGGCTGAACCTAAATCTAGTTAGTAGCTCCTTCTCCCAGCAAAAAAGGCTGCAGCTTCTCACACTGGGATTCCAGTCGCATGCTTGTTAGACTGGTTTATATTGTCCCACAGCTCTTAGATCCTCTGTGCTGGTATTTCCCCCAGTCTTATTGTTTTCTCTCTTGCTGCTTCAGCTTGGAAGTTTTCTCCTACTTATCTTCAAATTCCTCGATTTCCTCAGCTCCGCTGAGTCTACTGACAAGCTCATTGAAAACATTTTTCATTTCTGTTACAGTGTTTTTACTTCTCACGTTTCTATTTGACTCTTTCTTATGGTTTCCATCTCTTTGCTGAAATTCTTTTATCTGTTGATGCAAATACTCTCTTTCCCATGTTGTCCACCTTTTCCACTATAACCTTTAACATATTTAACATAGTCGCAGTTATTTAAAACTACCTAAGTCTCTTCAATGAGTGGTGCCAGGAAAACTGGACAGCTACATGTAAAAAGAATGAAATTAGAACATTCTCTAACACCACATGCAAAAACAAACTCAAAATGGATTAAAGACCTAATGTAAGATCAGATACTGTAAAACCCCTGAGGAAAACACAGGCAGAGCACTCTGACATAAATTGCAGCAATATCTTTTTGGCTCTGTCTCCTAGAGTAATGGAAATAAAAGCAAAAATAAACAAATGGGATCTAATTAAACTTAAAAGCTTTTGCACAGCAAAGGAAACCATAAACAAAACAAAGACAATCTACAGAATGCGAGAAAATGTTTGCAAACAACGCAACCGACAAAGGGCTTAATTTCCAAAATATACATATAGCTCATACAGCTCAATATCAAAAAAACAAATAACCCAATCAAAAAATGGGCTTATTTTAATAGCTATTTCTCCAACGAAGGCATACAGGTAGCCAACAGGCACGTGAAAAGATGCTCAACATGGCAAATTATTAGAGAAATGCGAATCAAAACTACAGTGAGTTATCACCTCACACTGATAAGAATGGCCATCATCAAAAAGCCTACAAACAATAAATGCTGAGGAGGTGTGGAGAAAAGGGAACCCTCCTACACTGCTGGTGGGAGTGTAAACTGGTGCAGCCACTACGGAGAACAGTATAGAGGTTCTTTAAAAAACTAAAAATAGACTTACCATGTGGTCCAGCAATCCCATTCCTGGGCATATATATATCCAGAAAAGAAAAAAAACTCGAATTCAAAAAGATACATGCACCCCAACGTTCATATCAGCACTATTTACAATAGCCAAGACATGAAAGCAACCTAAGTGTCCATCGACAGAAAACTGGGTAAAGGAGTTGTGGTGTGTGTGTATATAATAGAATATTACTCAGCTATAAAAAAGGATAAAATAATGTTATCTGCAGCAACATGGATAGACCTAGAGATTATCATACTAAGTGAAGTAAGTTAGACAGAGAAAGACAAACATCATGGGATATCACTTATATGTGGAATCTGAAAAAAATGATATAAATAAACTTATTTAAAAAACAGAAAAAAAATTCACAGACATAGGAAACAAACTTATGGTTACCAAAGGGGAAAGGGCAGGGGAGGGATAAATTAGAAGTTTGGGATTAACAGATACACATTATCATACATAAAATAGATAAACAACAGGGAACTATATTCAATATCTTGCAATAACCTGTAAGGAAAAGAATCTGAAAAGGAATATATATATACACACACATATATATAAAACTGAATCACTTTGGTATATACCTGAAACTAACACAGTATTGTAAACCAACTATGCTTCAATAAAAAAAATAAAATTTAAAAAACTTCAAAAAAAATAATCTGTCTAGTATTTCCAACATGTGGGTCATCTCTGTGTCTCAATCTGTTGATTGCTTTGTCCCTTGACAGTGAGTTTCTCCTTATTTTTCATTTTTAAAAATTTTATCATTTTGTGTGTGTGTGTGTGCAGTTAGTTTAGCCAGGAATTGAGCTGGGCTTTACTGTTGCCATGGTTACCTTCAGTACATCAGTGGTTTCAAAATCCTCTAGTGTTATTTTGTGCTTCTGCAGGGGTCATGGAGATTTTTTCCCTCAATTTTCCTGCTCTTTCAGCTTTTGGCCTTCCTGTGTGCCTGCACGATACAACGAGATTCTCTCTATGCCCTTGCCTTTCTCCAACTGATTTCTATTGCTTGTTACTTGGTACTTGCTGCCTCAAGGTGGGGAAGTAGGGGCGCTTTTCTGTTGTCCTGGTCCAGGCTCTGTCTTAGGCATGTCCTCTATGCCTTCTTAGTCATCCTGCTCCTTCTTCCCATGACTGTCAGCTTTGTCTTGTATCTTTGGCAAGTTTTGTGCAACACAATCAGCAAAGTTTGCTGCCTCTGTCCCAGAACCGAAAGGCCTTTATTCTGTAGGAGAGAAGGTTCTGCATGGGGCTTCATACCTTTCCTACAGCCATGGCTGCTGCCCTCTCCCAGGCCTGCACCCAGAGGAAGGACTCTTTGGCCTCTAGTTCTGCCCCTTCTTTTTTTTCACGAACACACAGGGTAGGTTCATAAAGAAGCATCCGTGAGTGGCATGAACTCTTTACCCCTTAGCAATCTGCTAAAAATCTAAGCATAATTCCTAATATCAGCCTGAATGGAACCTGGCATTTCTTTCTCCCATATCCTGCCACAGGTGAGCCAATGGTCAAGTCATGTCTCTCTTTGGAAGTTCCTGTCTTTCCTTTGGATGTCAGGCTACTTGGCTGTGCCGTGACTTCAGCTCTCAAATGGGTTCAGGAAAATCTATACTTTTGTTGTTTAGCTGCTTTTTCTTATTCTTAGGGTGGGATTGATACATTTTAGGCAGATGTAGAATATACACACAGTAAATATACATCTATTTTTATATATGCATTATATATGAATACACTATATGACATATATTATATGACATATTATATATACATATATATATATATATATTATTTTTTTTTCAGTGGTTCTCAACCACAGGTGATTTTTTGCCACCCGGGGGACATCTGGCAATGTCTGGAGACACTTCTAATTACTGGGAGGTACTATGGCATCTAGTGGGTAGAGCTCAGAGATGCTACTAAACATCTTATGAGGCACAGGACAGCCCCCCAACAACAAAGAATTACGTGGCCCAAAATGTCTGTGGTGTCAAGATTGAGAGACCTTGATAAACACATATATACATAAAGTACTTTTATTATTGTTCATGTCTGAATATTTTGTAATTTCCATTATGGTTAATTTTCCAAAAAATTGGTTCATCTAGAAATGTGTTTCTTAATAGTTATCTTTTTGTTACTCATGTTAGTTATATTGCATTGTGGTCAGAGGACAAGCATGACTACAACCCTTTGAAATGTGTTAAGGATTGTTCTGTGGTATAATATATGGTCCATACATTGGTTTATATGGTTTAATAACTGTTCTGTGTGTGCCTACAAAGAATATGTTCCCTTGATCAAGTTTGTTAATTGTGTTTGATTCTTATACATCTATTCGGGTTTTTTTTTTTTTTTGGTCCATTTGTTCTATCAATTACTGACAATGTAAAAAAATCTCTTACTACGCCTAAAAAAGACTTATATACTTTGAGGCTATGTTTTAAAATGCATATAAAATGAAAATGTTTTACATATTTCTCCTGAATTAAAGCTTTGATCATCATGAAGGGATCTTTTTAATCTCTAGTAATGTTTTCTGCCTGGTAGTCAATTGTCTGCTAATAGGTCTAAACCAGTTTTCCTCTGGTTAGGATTTGCTTGGTACATATCTTCCATCTTTTTTCACTTTTGGCTTTTCTACATCCTTATGTTTGAAATATATTGTTTATAAACAGAATATAGGTTTATTATAAACTTTCATCTAACAACTTCTGTTTTTTAAATGTAGAATTTAATCTATTTACTTTTATTGTAAATACATTTGTATGTACCATCTCATAGTATTTCTATTTGTCCTTTTGTCCTATCACTTCTATGTTTCTATTTGTGTTTTTGGTGTGTTATTTTGTATTAATTTGATTTTTCCTTTTGCATGTCACTTTCTTTCTCTGGGAATTTGGAATTTGAATACTCTATTTTTAACCCTTTAGTTGTGACCCTAGTAATTATAATTACTACAGACATCCTTCATTTATCAATATCTAAAGTTAATGTATAACTTTATCCAATTTCTTAACAATAGAGGAATCCTAGTACACTTTATCCTCATTTATGTTCTCCCAATTTATGTATTATTTGGGAAGGTATTTAAATTATAACTTTTTTCACTTTGAAACATATACTACTTTTTAAAAATTACATTTATTGTTTTATACAATGTATGCTCAAAATTACCCTATCAGACTGTCCAAATTACTTTTGGTTTATTGAAGTGCATTCTTTAGAATTCCCTTTAGTAAGAGACTGCTGTTGACAAAATCTCTTATTAAAGAGTTACATCCTACACAGACATATACACAGAGACAGAGAGGTGAAAAAACCTTGCATGTCTTATCTCCTCATCTGCTTAATACTGAAGTTTAAGATATGCAAGCTTTTTTCCACCTCTCTCTCTGTCTCTCTGCGTTTCTCTCTGTCTGTGTAGGACGTGGCTTTAGGGTGGGAGGACCTTCTCCGAGATCACTCATCTTAAGCAGGCCCTGAATTTTGTCTTCCGTTCCCACTTTTCTGTGAAGCCACAAAAAGCAAAGCTCAGTTTCACTCTGTGGTTTAAATGTCCTCAAGACAAAAGCTAGCAGCAACACTCTGCTTATCATTCTAGGCTCTTACGTATATTTAGTTCCTGGTCTTAAGTTCTTTATATTCTTACCAGCCCATTGCTGTATTTAAGATTTTAAAAGTACTTAATCCAGGATTTATGGTTATTTTTGATGGATGATTAGTACAGATACCTAGGCTGTTACAATGCTGAAATGGAAGTGTATTCATACGTTCCCCAAAGACAGTTAAGCCTGCCAACGAAAATGGCATCATCATAAACGACATGAGTACAGTATACTTGCAATAGCATGTATATTAAAATAAATGTTTAATTGTTATAAACTTGATTCAAGTAGGTGAGAATTTGGATACACTTTGGATTTTTATTTTCAATTTTAAAATTAAATTTTAAATTCAAATTGTCTAAGTACAAAATGTAACGTTTCTCTAAAGGGTGTTCTTCCATACTCACAGTATAACCTTTCATTGAGACGATTAAGGGACTGCAGGATCTTCTGTTCTTCAGCGGATAGTGCACAGATGTCAAATCGCTGGATCTGACTGAAAGCCGGGTTTGGTTTCTGTAGTTGCCTGCTGTTCAGGACAGTTAGAATTTCATCCTCAGGCACTGAAGCTTTCACTAGGTTTTCAGCCATCAAAAATTCAGAAGTACTGCCTGAAACTACAGAAATCTTACATTAACTATTCTCTGATCCCTTTTTGTCTTCGGGATCAGCCCTTACACAAACTTAATTGACATATGTTTATGTATTCATTTCACAAACAGAAACCCAGTAATCTTCTGTCACTGTAAATTTTATTTATCAATATCTTTTATTTATCAACTTAGCATTTTTCCATCTCTAATTTAAAAAAATATTCAAAATGATGACAGTCATATAATAAAAATTCCTAGAGTGTTACTTGAACTGAAGAAAAAAATACATTGTTCAGATTACTTTATGTGTTGTTTTTGTTATTCATTGATAGTACAAAGAGAAGACTGTCCTTATAATAGCCACTAAGATGAGCTATAAATAAAAGAGTAAGAGAAAAGGAATCTATGGAAATTTTAGTTGAGCAAAGGTTGGGTCAGCCCCTTAAGAGCATCAGCTACTAGACAGACAAAGGTACAATATTAAGGGAGAGAAATTATTTCTATAAAGCTGTTATTATTTAATACTAATACCTACAAGGTACACACTGCTACACCTCAATAAGAAAAACTTCACATAAATTTAAAAAGTTGTATGTTTTACCTATAAAAATATGTAAATTTATTCTTACCAGCAACCTTTGCATTTTGACCCAGAATATTATGATGTCTTTTCCACAAGGGAACAGATTCTTCTTTAGTAGTTCTAAGAGTCACAGAGGGATGGCTTTCTTCATATGTCGGACATCTTTGGGAGCAATATAACGTCGCATCTTGCTGGGCAACCGTTTGAGTGCCATTTGAATGATTTGTCTTTGCTGAAGTTTGGCATTCAGAAGAACAATGTGGTAGAGATGGCATCACAGTGACTAAGTCAGAACAGACGTGTGACAGTGGAAGACTACTTTCTTGATTCCACTGATTCAACTTGCGTTCTGTTGAAAGCACATGTTTTGAATTAAAACAGTTGTATGTACTAATGGTTTGAGAATTTTCAGGCCTTACTGATTGATACTGAGATACTTGTGTATTTTTACAACTCTTAACATTTAATGGAGATTTAGGAGGAGGATGAGGCACAATTAATTTACCCTGAGCTTGTAAAAATGTGTTGGCTTTCCTTGCAGACTGTGGTCGAACAACAGTGCCTTTTCTGTTCGTATATGTAAAGCCTGATTGGACTTTAGCAGATCTTGTTCTTCTAATTACTTTGGCTCCGCCTCTTTGTGGATTCGCTTTCTGGCTTTTAGCATCACCACTATGTACAGGGGATTTACTCTCCTCTTTCTCTGAGGCTGGCCAGGCTTGCTTAGCAATTTTATAATCTGAAGGTATAAAACAGTTCAAAGGCACATGGTCTATTCGAGATCTTCCTAAAGCAGCGACATTTTCAGAGAGAACATCATCCTTGGGCATTTCTCTATCAGCAGAATTTACAGCGCAAGCAGGAATTCTTGTCATGTTGCTAGCAGCACCGCTTTTAGTTTGAGTGTGGAATGGTTGAGACCACTGTTGCAATATTCCTACTCTATTCTGCAAAGAATGATTATCTTCAGCATTTTTCCCCATATCTCCAGTTTCATCAAACCACCTCAGTTTTTTCATAGTCTTTGGTATTTCTACACTTTTCCCTCTTTCTTTTGTTAATTCAATACTATCTCTGATACCTGCTGCTTTTTGATTTCCTAACTTGAAGCCTTGGTTTGTAACTAGTGCCTTAAAATAATCATGTTCGTATTTAGATTCTTTCTTTAAAATACTTTTGAGAAACCTCACGCCATTTCTCTCATGAATATTGTATTTCATTTTCTTGTGCTGTTCGACTGAGTCACAATCAGAAATTACATGAGACGGTGATGTTGATGTTTCAGCTATTTTCTGGTTCTTATCTTTCGAATCAGAGTTGTGAGGTATGCAGGTGGCTTGAAAGTCATCTGAAAATAAAGGCAACTCTTCCTTATTACAATGAACATATTTTACTTTTTCATCTTTAATGTCTTTCAATTCTCCTAACTTATCAGAACACTGCACCGGGTCAATTTCTTTTATATGTGTACTGTTCTTTGGTAAAGGCCTGGCTGACTGTGTGCTAGATGGCAAAACTAAAGGTGTTGCCACAGGTACAAATGAAGTAGGAGCTGAAGTAGTTCTAGTTTCTTGAGTTAATTCAGAATATTTCTCTTCGTCTGACGTTGTAGCCATTTCCTGGGTTAGAGAATCTGGAGTGGTCCAGGATTTGCTGAATTTAAATGCTGGGCTCTCAGTAACCAGTGGTCTCTCCCTTTTGAATGCTCCAGAAGAGGAGTCAGTTATCCTCACAGTACTAGTTTCAGGGGTCTTTTTGCTTTTTTTATCTTGTGCATATATGGGTGGACTATGTACAAAGGCTACTGAATTATTAGCAGTATTTGTGGTTCTTTCCACAGTTCTACTCAGAAGAGATGGATTTTGTCCTTTACTATTTAAACATTCACATGAAGGCAGAGCATTAGGTTCACTTAAAATATCTGAGAAAGGCGTGACAGTCTGAGTATGTGGATCATCTACATTTATAAGCCAATTATTTATATGTTGAGTTTTAGAGAATGACAGTTTATCTTCATCAAAGCAGCTTAGATTAGTTGATTGCAGATTTGCTAATTTGAGAGAAATAGAATTCTGCTGCTGGATTGATGTGGAAGTCTCCTTATTAAGAGTTAAATATATTTCTTCATATTCCCCAGCCTCAAGACTGTCTATACTTGAGAGGGTTTCAGAATTTGTTATCTGATTAACTTCATCACAAAATTTCTGAAAGAAAAAACAAAAAGAACATTGTTCAATAGCTGAGAAATTTTTAAGTGCCAAAATCAATGATTCTACACTTAAGTGTTGCTGAGCCCAACTCTACTTGGCATATAAAATAGAATATGACTATAAACAGTCTAGGTATGTAAATAATCTCTATCCTTGGAGCAATCCTCAGAGTGAAAAATAGGGAGCCAACAGAGACTCAGCAATAAAGTTTGTTTGCCTTAATTTCTTCACCTTAAAGTAACTATCCAATTATTCTAGCCACAGTTATAGCTTAGAAAACAATTTTGCTATTGCTATTCCATTCAAAGGATGGAGTTTTTCTGAAACTTTCATAACAGCATGTAAACTTTTGAAAAATAGTTATTTATATATGTATTTTTTTCCTGAAATTTTCACTGGACTTTGAATGAAGCTCCTAAAAGCTCTATGATTGTAATATGCATTTCCTATTGGTAAGGCTATATCTTTTTATAAAAGTTAATCTTGTGGTCTACACAATAGAGTTCTCAACTCTGGCTGCATGTTAGAATCAAATAAGGAGCTTTGTAAAAATATCTATACCTGGTTCCTGCTGATTGAATATTTAGATGGAATCCATGCACTAGTGGTATTATTATTATTTTTAAATTCCCCAGGTAATTCTAATGTGGATGTAGGATGGAGAACTACTGATTTTAATGACTCATTTCTGGACAGTTAGCACAGTGATGATTTCCATGAATTCCATACACATTCTCATCACTATTTCAATGAAATTTCATGGAAATTATCAATCTTAAATAAGATTTCATGATTACTTCAAAGTATAGTCAAAGTATAGTCAAAGTATAGTCAATGTTTAAAAGTATTTCTAATTTCTCACACATATAACAAATGAGAATGCATTAATCAGTATCACATATGTAGAAACAAATTCAAATACTTTGAATTGCAAATCTAGTCAAAAAGTTACAGACTCAAAAAAGGAAAATTAGTGTCCCTTAAAATTTTAGAGAAATTTTAGAAAATTTAAATATGCTAGTATTAAACAACATTTTATTTTTCTAGCCCAGAAAATAAACAGAAACCAAGGAAATCAGTTACATAATAAAATTATTTTAGTTTGTATATTACTTATTGATATACTATTATTGTGAAATAAGTTTAGAAAATGATTCAGAGTTTGATACTGCTAGCATTTAGCCCTGCTTGTCATATCCTTCAGCACTGTGGTGTCTTTTTAAAGAGATGGTCGCTCAACCTAATTAGGCTCCTTCAATGCCTGTTGTTGGAACTGAGTTATTTTAATTGGTAATGATAAGGAAACTAGGCCTGGCGGGCTTTGTTTGAGATTGCACTTAATGAGATATAGAAATCTGGGTTAGAAGGTCCTTCTGGATATAACTGCGGTATCCATGGCTCTAAGATTTCCCTTTGCAGAAGCCTGTGATGGCCTCATTTCCCAAAGCACATCAAAGGAAGTTCAGCAACTTTTGATTTCACTAAACTATACTTTTTTCCCTCAGAATTTTTCTTACCATTAAAAAATGAAACATTATGATCAGCTTTAAGATTTGCTTGTAAGTTACTGATAGAAACTGTCCTAGACTTATGCTTTGTGTTTTAGCTTTTTTAATCCCCTTTATTGATAATACTTATCTACAATAAAACACACTCACTTTAAATGTGTAGTTCAATAGGTTTTGACAAATTTATTCACCCATAACCATCATAGTAAACATATAAGAACCTCTCCATCTGTTGAAAGTGCCCTCATGCCTCTTTGTAGTCAATACCTACCTACGACTAACAACCACTAATCTGTTTTCTGTCACTATAGATCTGAATTTTCATCCGTTATCATTTTTACTCTGCCTGAAAAACTTCCGGGAGCATTTCTTACAGTGCAAATACTGGTGTAGTACCGTGGTGTTCAGTTGTTGTTTGAAAATGCCTATTTTGCCTTCACTTTAGAATGATATTTTCACTGAGTATAGAATTCTAGGTTGGTAGTTTTTTCCTTTCTCAGAGCTTTAAAAGTATTATTTCTTGTCTTCTGGCTTGAAGTCAGTGTGGTGCACCTTATCTTTGTTCCACCTGCATTATATATATGTGTGTGTATGTATATACATATTTTTCCTCTAGCTTAATTTAATTTTGATGTGCTTTTGTAAGGTGTGTGTGCACAGGCACATGGGTGCACACTTATCCTTCTTGGAGTTGAGCTTCCTGGGTTTGTGGACTTGTAGTTCCATCACATTTGAAATACCTTCAGCTACTGCTTCTTTAAATATTCTCCCTCTCTTTGTGAGATTTTAATTAATTGTATGCTAGATTTAGATACTGTCTCACAGGTCACTAACACTCTGCTATATGTATTTTTTCCGTCTTCTTTCTCCCAATGCTTCAGTTTAGACGATTTCTGTCCACTGTTCTTTTTGTCTGTAAGGTCCATCCGGTGTAATTTTGATCTCAGATAATGTATTTTTCATTGAGAAGTTCTATTTTGTTCTCATAAAAATGTCATTTATCATTATGCTCATTTTTCTTTAATTCTTTGAAAAGATTTGTAAGTTATTTTGCATTCTTTTCTGATAATTAATTCCATCATATCTGTCATTCATGTGCCTGATTATGCTGACTAAGTTTTCTCCTGGCTATGGGCCATACGGCTTTTTTCCCCACATGTCTAGTAAGTCTGATTAACTGAACGTTGGACATTGTGGGCACCACGTCACATGCTCAGACTGCAGTCTTCCGTAAGGGAGCGTCACGCGCTGTTTGGATAGCTAGTTGGGTTACCTGTGGATTCTCTCAGGCTTGTCCAGAGACTACGCCCAGGTAAAGGCCTATGTGATCACAGGGCTTGCTTCGCTTGTTTTCCTTTTTCTCAAGATCGTATCTTACACCGCCTGTTCTGTAACATCTAAAAACACCTGTTTCATGGATTTTATTCAGAATCATACTTGTTTCTGACAGGAAAGGGCTTCCTCATAGCCAGAAGTATCCTGCTTCATTTCTCCAGCCTTGCCACGATTGATTAGATATTAGATAAATTAGGCCACGGTTATGAATTTAATCTTGATACCAGCTACTTAGAATCTCATAAATGTGTGTAGTTACTCATAAAAAAAGAAAGTGCATGAACATTTCAGGAAATTTAGTAGGAAATCCATACTCATTTGTGGGAAATAAAGTAAATGCCCTAGTAGAGATAGAATAGAAACACCTTTTCTAATTGTGCCATATTTTCATGAAGAACCTAATGTCCGTATGTATTATAATATTAAGGTTGCTTTTATAACCCAATCTCTAACAATGATACTTACGTTACATCTTACTTTCAGATAGCTTTCACGTTTTTCAGAAAATAACATTCATAAAGCATGTTTTTCCAAATATAAGAGATGGGAAAGAAGAGTAAAGGAAGCAGAGAGAAAAATGGAGCAAAAGGCTAAAAAATACCAAAAGCTTATGTCACTGATATCTGTGATGAGTTTGTGCTGATTCATGCAACAATACACACTTGGCTAGTGGTATACATTTCTTTAGTGGAGAACACTGCAAAAATGGGACAGGATCATTTCTAGATATTAAAATATTAATAACATATTTAAAGTTTCATACTTGCAAACTGCTTAGATGATGATCTTCTAGGAGTTTCTGAGTTTCCTCCAGTTTAAGCTGAAATGCATCTTTGTTAGCAGTCAAGTTTGCCTTGCTGTTTTCCTTCATTTCTTTATCACAATTGATTTTGCATATGAGATGTTTCTGATGCTTGTGATCATTTTTTGACAATGACGAAGGTAAGGTATTATCTATAGTTCTGTGAACCATACATAAAAAATGTTTAGTACATTTAAATAAAGTAAACATACATATGACATATTTATGTAATATGTGATAGTGTGTGTCCAGATAATCACATATAAGGATATTGGAGAAATATATAGACATAATAGAATGGGAATTTAAGGGAGTCACTGGATGTGGGATCACAGTCCAATAAAGCACTCCACCTTCATGCAGGGATGCCCAATTATTCATGGCCTTGACTATGAAATCCTGCTCCTCTGTTGTTCGGGATGGACGTAGAAGGAATTTCTGTAGATGTGCAGAGTCAGTCCTCAGTCCTTCAAGAGCATTCCCATCTGGACAACAGTATGCTGCCTTACCCTTAGTTCTGAGTTGACCTCATGACTAGTAGGTATTCCTGTAACTCTAATAGAGTTGATTGAAGAGCAAAGCAGATAGAAAATATAAAAACTGCTTGTCAGAGTAGGCCGGCATTTCCATCTTACTTTACTAGATTTGGGAGCCTGGATCTTTTTCCGTTGGGGAAAGTGTACTCATTTGTTTTCACTTGTATCACAAATATAACCATGGTTTTCATGCCACAGAAGGGGTACCTTTAATGAAGAGTCTATTTTTAGTGTGTCAAAGTGCTGCCCCCAAGTTATCAGGGGATGACATCATCTTCTTTTAGAACTTTGCCTCTTCTGGAAACTTACAGCATGTTATACATTTCAGTATATGTACAAAGTGAAAAGCAAAGAACAAAAGAAGATTTTTTTTGAGGGGTAGGATTGGGATGAAATATATCAAATAACTGACTATTGTTGCATTAAGGCCAGTATTGTGAATCCCAAGGGTATTTATCCCTAATTCATTCGAATTATTCCCAATTTAATGAGGATTAAGATGTTTTGGAAGGTGACACATGGCCACAGGTGACATATATCTATCTCCAATACCCATATATATCTTTATTTGGACAGACTGTAACAGTCAAAGTCAATGATGACTAGTTCCCTGACTATCCTTCTGTGACCAAAGGGAGGTCAAGGAGAGTAGAAAGGTGTTTAACAAGGGTCCTGAATGCTAGGAGTGTGTTTCTCCCTCTTCTTTTAGGCTTCATACTTTTACATATTCCTCCCCCTTCAGTCACCCTTCCCAAGTGAAATATTGCTAAATCTACAAAATATCTAATAAACTAAATTTATTTACCTTTAAAGTTGTCGTCTCTCAACTTTTTCTTCTCTATTTCTTTCTTCTCTACTCCACTTGCTTCTCTTCTCTTCTCTACTTTCTTCCCCCAGTGAGGAGGACTGAAGGAATGGATAGGAATAAAAGGAGATGGGGAGGTAGAAAAAGAGGAAGAGTGAAGCATGGGGGGAAAGGAAGAAGAAACCATAAAGGAAGAAGAAACAGGTGGAACTGGAGAAGCAAAATCTAAATTTGTGGGAGGCAAATATGGAGAGGGTGATGAATCCAAAGGAGAGGAAAAAAGAGGAATAGTCGAAGGAGGTAAGAATGGAGAGGCAGAAGGGGAGGGTGAAGAAGAGGAAAGAATGGATGAAGAGGAAGAAAACCGTACAGAAGACGAACGAGGGGATATGGAAGTAGGAGATGAAGACAAAGAAGAGGATGGAGAACGACAGGGAGGTGGATGGGAGAGAAATGATGTAGGCGGATGGTCTACAACGGCTTGGAGCAGATTTGACAATGTTTTGGTTTGTGGAACAGATTGCTGGACTGACTGAAAAGGATCTAAGCTAGCAGGATGTTCAGGCAATGGAGTGACATAAGAAAGAGTGGGAGTTGGTTGATGAGGGGGATGATTGGATAAACAGGAAGGCTTCAAAACAGGGAGACCTTCCAAAGGGGTTGGGGAAACAACCAGTCGAGCTGGAAGGGAACGACGAACAAGCGCAGGCATTAGAGTGGTTGCGGTAGAATGCTGTGCTGGAAGGAAATGTTTGGGTCTGAAAGTTTTGTAAAATAACTTGCTGTGTGAGTCAGAATCAGGAATGACTGGCAGATCTTGAGGTGGGTGGGGTAAACGGTCAGGAGGGCCAGAAGGAATTGGGGCTAGCAGACATGGGAAACTGCTAGAAAAGCTGGGAGTGACTGGGGCTGGAGGACGAGGAAGATATTTGACTGGGGAGGACAGTAATGGGGCTGGTAGGAAGGTTCTGGGGAGAGTAGAGGGGACAGATGGATAGATAGGCAGGGTCTGAGGCTGGCGGGTGGGAGGAACAGGGGGATAGCTAGGAAGAATTTGGGAATGCTGGGATAGCAGGGGGGCTCGTAAAGGAGACTGCTGATCAGGTAAGTGGGGATCAGGTGTGGAGACAGCTGGACAAGCAGGAATGGATCTGCACAGGTGGGAAAGCATTTGGACAGGAAGTAGAGAGACAGCCTTATTAAGATGGTTTTTCTGGTTTATTGGGCTGCCTCTAAGCTTTCAATTCGTATTATTTTTTGTTCTGAGGATCCATGCATGATGTTCTTCTGATCAACCAGTGTCCTTTCACATGAGCTGAGAAATGTACATAGCTTACTGAGGTTTCCCTTTTCTCATTCCTTGCTCTTAAGAGTATTTTCGCCTCTCAGAAGTCTGACAGTCATACAGATAATGAGTATCGGCTAGAAAAAGCTGGTTTGAAGTACTGTTACAAAGGGCAAATAGGGATTAAACAGATTGCTGTTCAGCTCTGGTCAGATTTCTCAGGGTAGCCTGTGGTTCAGGATCAGCTGACTTACCACAGATACATGGATATTGGAGATAGATATCTAACAATATCATTTTAAAGTACAAAAACTTGATATGAGAAAAAATAGCTTCTTTTACCCTACATCTACCAGAAGGGTCAAGTATACTATCTTTGTGATAAGGATTTAGTTGAGATGGAAAGCTGACTACTTATATTTTTATTAGTCTTTTATTAATATTCTTATATCTCATTATTTCCTGAAGTATCTTCTACTTTCATATGTACATAGTCTCTGATCTTTCTTGAGGCTTAAGTATTGAATGCCCTCCATTTGTTCATACAATTTTTTTCTAATTTAGACTATCACATTACCAACATTTTAAATTATTTTTATCTACCACTAATATTTTCCACATTAGAACAATTGTCTGTAAGTACCGATATATCTTCCCTTCTTTGGAAGTTCCCTGTTTCTAGACATTACTTTATTCCTTAACACATTTTAGGTTTATATTGTAGAGCAGATGTATTTTTAATGTGACAATAGCTTAACAGTATTTGTAGCTTAATTATATTTTCAATAAACAGTACATATAAATATTTCGATTAACCTAATATCTGATCTTTAATATTTCAAGCTTGCATATTTCTAGTATAGCATTTTGTAGTTTACAAAGCATTTTCACATACATTATTTAATACTGTTAGTTATCTGTGGAGAGGAGTTCAACTTTTTAATAAGAAAACAATAGTGTTCTCTCAATAAACTATACACATTTGTTGTTTTCCAAATCACAAAGTTTATGTGTGTGTACATATAGAGATATCCTGAAGTCATAGTCATAATAGTATATTATAATAATAAATGAAAACTATGTATTCTAATTTAGCATGGAGGCCATTTCTCATAGAATCAACTTTATATAATGGTCCTAGCACAGTTTTGGTATAATGCGAACCATTAGTTTGTTTGCTACAGGGAGAGCAAAGATGTCTGACACTTAATCTCTTCTAAGACTTTAAGGAACTGTACATTCACAGTGCAAAAGAGCTTTGTTAATTGAAAATACCTGATAACACAAAGGATAATAACTAACACACAGAAAAAGAAAACTGACAGTAAAGAAAACCTGTACGTAAAAATGCACATTACTTCTATACTAAATGATTTGGAATTTTTTTATCACTTTAAATTCTCCCAGAACCCTTATCCCGCCTCTAATTGTCATCTTCACTTTTGGGATAAACTGTTCCTTAGAGTACTCTAAAATTATCCTGCATTCACTGCCTCAACATCTATTTGTTCCTTAACCTACTGCTATCTGGCTTCTATCTCTATCACTCCAATGTACTGCTTTTGCTAGCGATTAACTAATTGACTTAATTGCAAAAATTGACACTTTCTTGACCACTATCTTTCTCAACTTTAATTCCCTTGGTTTCCTTATCATCAAATGTTCCTGGTTACTTTCCAGCTTCTCTAGTTGTTCCTTCTTAGGGTCTTCCTTGAGCTCCTCCTTCTTTGCTTGGAAATGCTAGAATTTTTGAGTGTTATGTGATCCTCTTTTTTGCCTGTTTATCCATACTCTCTCGTGATCTTATACTGTCTGTGTGATCTTATTTGAACTTGTATGTGAGTGAAGGGTTAATAAAATCATTCTTCTCTGTGGATCAATTCAACTTTGGGTCAACTTTCTAATTCTGTTCCCCTGGATTATTAGTTGGATTTGAACTGTGTTTCAGGCACATTTATTATGTAAAAAATGACCCTTCATTGGCAAACCATATCTGTACTGAGAGGTCTGTGAATAAATCATAGAACTGTGATAGGAAGCTATAGCTTTGTGTGTGGTCTTGTAACGGACATGCCTCTTGCATGGAAGCTATTCATGTGGAGCCATTACAGGAAATATTGGTTCCTGCTTGGAAAATGGGATTTCCAACCCAGGGTGGCTGAATGCGCACCCATTATAATGTCATCACTTGTGGGAAGAGGATGAGTCCTTTGACTGTTTCGTGGCATGCCATGAGGATTCCTCCTATTGAAGAATGTTGCCTGTTGACATGCAATGTTTTACGTCTTTGAAGCCAAACATGGTCTCTTGTAGTCATGGGAGTCTGATTGTTTAGCTGAACCCAAGACCACCACTGGTGGGTACTGAACCATGGCTTTAACTTCATCGATTCACTGGCAACTATCATATCTATACTCATGGCTCAGATATCTTACTAATGAGAAACGGGCTCCAGAATATCCCTTAAGTGTCTCAAATTCACAACTTATCATCATCCTTCCAGTTACTTCCTCTCTTAAACCTCTTTGTCCTCATAGTCTTTATTTTGATAAATGGTTTCAACTATCCGTTAACTGACCAAACTCAGTCTCCAGTCATCTTTGATTTCCTAAACAGTTACCAAATCATGTTGATTCTACTTCCTAAATAGGTCTTAAAAAGTCATTGTTTCCATAACTAAAGTACTATTTTATCTGATTTTCCTATGTCCAGTCTTACCCTACTCTTTCTCATTTTGGCAATATTCCCAAAATATAAATGTTTTATGCTCGCTGCAAATCTTTCAGCAATTGTTTTTAGGACAAACTCCTTAACAAGGCTTTTCATGCTTTAACCCATGGCTTTCTTTCCAAGAAACCTATATGCTCACACCCTCTCACTGTACACACTAGTCAAAATGAACTGCCTACTTTCAGCTCCCTTAATACATGTCCTTTACCTTCATTCCTTTTCATATACTACTTATTCCCTCTTTCTAGAGCTCCCTCTCAATGCTTGTTTCTAATAAATAAATTTCTCATCGATTAAGTTTCAGGTCAAGTTTATACCCTCTGAAAAGTTTTCATTTATGCCAGAAATGTTTCTCCGTTCAAAGTACTTATTGAATACCTCCAACATACATACCACTGAGCTAAGCACTATAGGGAATACTGCCTGTGTAAGATTCAGCCCTTGCTCTCTACAATATTATATTCTGGTTGGGAAACATAAGTACACATAAACACTGAGCAACAACATATAGAATCATGACTTTAAAATTTATTTCTATAGTCTTGACTTTTCATTTCCTCTTAGGTCAAATTGCTTTTTATACACTTCTACTTGAATATTTACTCCCTAAACTCAGAAGGCTCAAATGAAATTTAATAATATCTTGCCAAACTCGTACCCTTTCATTATGCTCTTTTTTATTTTCAAAGTCACCAAATTCCCTCAATTATCATGACTCAAAATTTCAGCTCCTTTTGATTTTTTTTGTTTTCATTTTCTTTATTCCACCATACACCAAACTCATAACCTATTCTTTCCATGAAATATCTTTTCCTTCTATCTTTCTTTTCTACTTCACTACCACCCTCTTAACATAAGTCCTCTTAAACTCATGGCTGGATACCTTTTGATTTTCCTACCCTATTACCTCCATACTCCAATTCTTTTGTTTTTTTTTTTTAATACTCAAGGGACATTTTATTTGCTATGTAACCTATCACAATACTTTAATTTTTAAAATAAATTTAAAATGGAAGTACACTTGATTTACAATATTGTGTTAAATTCAGTTGTACAGGACCTGAACTTTGCAGATTTTACTCCACTATAGGTTATTACAAGATAATGGGTATAGTTTCCTCTGCTATACAGTATGTCTTTGTTGCTTATGTACTTTATACATCGTAGTTCCTATCTGTTAATCCCACATCCCTAATTTGTCCTTCTCCCCTTCCCTCTCATCTTTGGTAACCACAAGTTTATTTCTGATATTTGTGTGTCTTTCTGTTTTGCTTGTGCATTCCTATGTATTATTTTTTAGATTCTACTATAAGTGATATCATACAGTATTTGTCTTTCTCTGTCTGACTTATTTCACTAAGAATTATATACTCCAGATTCATTTACATTGCTGCAAATGACCAAATTTCAGCCTTTTTATGGCTGAGTAATATTCCAACATGTATGTATATATAACAGACCATCTTAATCCAATTATCTGTTAATAGGAACTGGTATTGCTTCTATGTCTTGGCGACTGTAAATGTCTTCTTGAAATAGTGTTTTCATTTCTTTCAGATATATACACAGAAGTGGAATTGCTAGATTGTATGGTAGTTCTATTTTTAATTTTATAAGGAATCTCCATACTGTTTTCCATAATGGCTGCACCAAACTACATTTCCACCAACAGCATATGAGGGCTCCCTTTTCTCCATACCCTCTCTAGCATTTATCATTTGTGGACTTTTTAATGATGGCCATTCTGATCAGTGAGAGGTGATACCTCATTGTAGTTCTGATTTGCAGTTCTCTGATAATTAGTGATGTTGAGTATCTTTTTGTATGCCTGTTGGCCATTTATTTGTATGCCTTCTTTGGAAAAATGTCTATTCAGGTCTTATGCCTGTTTTTTGATTTTTTTTTTCTGTTGAGTTGTATAAGCTGTTTATATACTTTGGATATTAATCCCTTATTGGTCATATCACTTGCAAATATTTTCTCCCATTCAATAGATTGTCTTCTGGTTTTGTTTATGGTTTCTTTTGCTGTGCAAAAGGTTTTAAGTTTAATTAGATCCCATTGTTTTATTTTGCTTTTATTTCCTTTGCTTTAGGAGACAGATCCAAAAAAAATTGCTGTCATTTATGTCAAAGA